ATTGTAAAATTTTGGTTTAAAGCTAATAGTTGGCTATTCATTATACTTGCTAGTGTATCAAAGAATTGTTGAGTTGTATATGGCTTAACTATATTAACTACTGGAAATACTGCAAAGGGCTTTTGTCTTCCTTTTGGTTTAGTAGTTCTCTTTATCACAATATTTCTTAGTTAGTTTTTCTTTTTCTTAAATTACATCCTCTTTATCAACAATTCTTCTTTTCCTATTTACAAACGCTTCTTGTATTGATAAGTTTAAGGGAACTGTAGAAGATTTTGTACCATTACTCTTGAGGTACACTTTCTAGTTTAAAGACTGATTACTGCTATCAGCCTCTTGTTTCTGTAACATTTGTATTAACAGTTGTAGTACTTGCAAATTTGTAGTATTATTATTCTGTGTAATATTATTATTATTCATATTAACAAGGGGTGGTGAAGGATTATTTAAAGCATTGTTCACTAATGTTGGATTAATGATAGGTGGTAAATTATTATTTTGATAATTGTTTGCAAAGGTGATGAGTGAGCAGTTTTTCTTTATATGTTCTGGTTGTCCATAGTTAAAGCAAGTGATGTTTTCTTTCTGTTATTGATTATTATTTTAAATATTGTAATTTAGCTGGTTACTTTGAATGCATACTTGTTGGTTATTTTATTGATAGGGTTGATATTGCTGCTAGACATTTTGTCGATTACCTTGATAGTCTTGATTATTTCTTTTATTATTATTGCTTACATTTATTTGTTGTATTTACTGCGTTAAAGTAGCAATTACATTATTCAAGTCATTCATCTGAGTTGAGACAATTTTTGGAAGAGCAAACTTATTCATATAAGCTTCAACAGCAGCAGTATCCTTATATATAAGTTCATATTATTTGGCTCAATCTAAAGCATTTACCTACGTTTAATTATTAAATAGTTTGACAAGAATATGGAGTTCAGGCAAAAGTTTAGAAATAAGTCGTTTGGCTTTATAAGTGTCAGAATACTGAAAGGTTAGTATTTTAACTTTATGATATAATTCGAGTAAAGCATTAACATAGTCATCAACTGTTTTATCAGGTTGCTGTCTTCTCCTCTTTAATTCAGTTGTTCAAATTTCTACCAATGTTTGAGACCTAAAGGCGGTTAGAAAGGTTATAGTAAAATCTATACCATTATTATTATCAGTCTACATAGTAATATGATTAGCATGGCCATTTACTAGTGCTTAGTTTGTGGTCCATCACGTTAAAGCTAAATTTCAAATATGCAGGTATAACTTCAAGCTTCCTATTATTATTGATTCTGTTTACATTGCAAGCACGTGTAAAATCTTCCATCCAGCTAATTAGGTTTTGATTTTTACCATAAAATAAGAAAGGTCAGCAATGTGAGATTCTCTTCGTAGTGGATTAGCATTCATGATTTGAGCATTGGCTTGTAGCTGATTGATTAAATTAAAAATCCCATTGTTAGCATTAGCATTGGATGGAGTATTTGGATTTAGAATTTTAGCAACGTTTTGTAATGCAACAGTTAATGCTTGAATATCAGCTTGATTTGCAGCCATTTCTTTAAATAAATTTTCTAAATTTAATTCTTCATCTGTGTATAATAAACTATTTGTATGTAGATTATTGTCGATATTATCGCTTAAAATTGTTGACTCAGACTCCTCAATTGTTTTAATTGTTTCAGAAGATAGTACAAAAGTTATCTCAGATATTTAGTATAATTGATATAAAGGATCTAATGCAAATTCTCGAATTAATATAAATGTGTTGTAGATATTTTGTCTAACTGTAATGGGTGATTCTCCAAACCCAGTATTATATTGAATACTAAAAATAAGGTTTAATATTGCTTAATCTACTATGTCAGATGATCTAATATAAAGGTAGGTATAATTTAATTCTTCAATATATTGTTAGGTATATCTGGTAAATATTGTTGCAAGATATTCAGTAGTATACTAATTTTAAAAGTATTAAAAATGCTCAGAAGTAACAAGTTCAGGAGGATAATAAAAATAGCAAGATCTATCATGATGCTGCACAACTATATTATTTTTATTTAAAGTGATATGTAATCTATTATGCCTTTGAACGATTTAAACAATTTTCAAAAACTTATCTGGCAGAAGGCACTAAGTGTTACAGTCAGTTCTTTAAGATGCTTATGAGTGATAAGTGTAGCAATATTTATGGGTAGTAAGCAGAAGGTTTGATTTGATAATTAGATTTAGAAGAATGTCAGTAAATTAAAAGTTTATTTAATAACTATAATAATGGAATATTGCCTTAGTCAACGCTCTGTACTATATAATTATATTAGAGGGATTAAACTAAACTATTTAATAAAACTATGAGTCAGACATACTGCTAAGCTAAAAGAAATTGTTTTCTATTTATATAAAATAAAAAAATATAAAGTTATTGAAGATATAAAATAAATAAATATAATAAATAAAATATATAAAATAAATATAATATAATAAATAAATGAGATAAATAAAATAAAAGAAATAAAAGAAATATAATGTATAAAAGAAATAAATGCCATAGATGACATAGATGACATAGAAGACATATATAATTTCTTAAAGATCGATGTCATTCTTTAGATCATTATCATCTATATTTTCTTTCATATAACATTAATATTAACTGTATAAAACTTAAATTTGAAATATTAATTTTATTAAAACCATTCATTATAATTTTACAATTTTAGTAATTATACTATTATGTTTGAATTCTAGACTAATATTATTATTATGTTGATAAATTTATTTTATATATCTGTCTATTGTGTGTTATATATTATTTACACCTTTTGTATTTTTTAACTACTTACTATTATTTAATTATTATTTGACCTATTACTTGCAGTAATTTCAAAATGATCATTTTGATTTATATTTTCTAAGAGTATACAAAATTTTGTATTTGTGTGACTAGTTTCTAAAGAACTTTTAAACTTTTTCTATTGTGATCTTTCATGAGTTCTTATATAGATTAAATTAGTAATCTTTTTTTAGTTTTCATTTATATTTTCTTTATCATCTGCTTTATTCAAACTAACTTTCATAGAATATATAAATTCATTAAGTAAGCTGATATATTCTGATTCTTGACCTAACTGTTTAACAAGATTATATGCATTTTTTTATAATTCATAAGCCTTTCTTTACGTACAATATTCAAATATGAATATTCTATATTAGAAATTATATCAATAGATTCACTTTGAGAATTAATTAATAATTGAACTAATGGTGAATTACATATTTCATCACCAGATAACTATACAGCTTGATTATTATACCATCTTGATAGAATTAATGAAATATTAAAAAAAGCTGATATGCTTTTTGTAAGAATTTTGATAAAATAACAGCTAATAATTTCTTTATTAATTAGCATTAAGCATGTGCATATATAACTTCCTTCCTGTAAAAGAATAATATATTATGTAAGCTAAGATTATGCACTAATTGATTATTATATATACCATATTTCAGTAATTAAAGGTATATTCTTAATAAGATCTTTAAGTAACACCTTCTTCTATTTATACTTATGTTCAATAATATCATCTTGAAGTATGTATTTAAGATCTTAGAAAAAAATAATAAATTAGCTATTCTAGTCTATATTTTACGCATATGTTAGCATATGCTAAAGTATGTTAATATCAATTATAGTAAAGTCAAAAATGATATTAATATGCTTTGACATATAATTTTACTTCTTAAATACTATTATATACTTACCAATGTATTCAAATTTAAATTCAAATTAATTTGTCTTACTTTATATAAAATACTTTTTAAAATTTCTTTCTTGATAATTATCAACATATTAAGTATTAAAAAATCCTTTAATATTTGAAGAATTGATCCAAAAAAACTTTTCATCTATATGTTATATATTAGTCATAATATTTCGAGTTTTTTGATTTTCAAATTTAGTATATTGTCTTTCTTCTTCTAACCTATTATGAATTTGCTAAGTAAAGTGAACTAATAAAGCTGTATAAAGTTCTTCTAATTTAATAGTGTTATTTTTAAATTCAGCTTTTTAAGTTATTGTAATACTAGCTGTAAATCGTATTTGTATATAATAATAAGTCTAAGAGAATCGTATTAGATATAATTTATTTTGTAAATAAGTTTCAGCAGCAGTATAATCATTACCATCTTCTTTCAAAGTCTTCAATACATATGCTATTCTAAGTTTTAATAAACAATTGATGACAGAAAGTAAATTTATTCTGAAGTTTTTCTTTAATTGTTTAATATAATTTTGATTTAAATGATAAAGATAGATATAATGAAGAGTATTAGGCAATTTGCTTTAATAGCTATAACTATTGCTAAGTCTTCATCTGTAAAAATAACTTTTGGAAATAAAAAATTAGTTGTATACATTATACAATCAAAAATCTACTGAAATGTTAAGTCAGTTTTATTTTCTATTAAAACTTGTACTATAAATGCAGATTCAATTATGATTATTAATTATCATAAATAAGAATAATACCATGTCATATCAATTTGTTTTATAGGTATCATCTATAATAACCACATTATGAAATCTTATCTAAAGTTGAATTTGCTATGATGACATCCATAAAATACTTCCCAAATGAAAATCTTCTCTAATTATATGAATTTCAATTACCTAACCTGAATCTTCCTTTTGAAGATTATACAATTCTTGCAACTTATTTTCTGCATCATCTTTTTCATTCATCTCCTAACTTCTTGAATTGCATTATATAAATTTTTTCAGTGAATGTAAGTATCAGAATACTTATTATTTAATAATCTAAATATAGTTTGAGCTCTCATGGTTGGAATCACAGTAAAATATTCCAATACATCAGATTTTATTTCTTTTAAAAACTTATGAAATTGAACTCCATGAATTTTAATATTTGAATTCAATGGATGGTTATATTCATCAATTATTGTGAAAATTTTAATAATTTCAGTTAATTTTAGACAAGTTACATTTATGTACCACTGATAACCAATTGATCCAGAATTTCTTTGACAATGTTTTTTCAGATCATTATCTTTTCTTGGTTGGTATTGAGCAGCTTTGGTATATTCATAAGTATGTTTACAAATAACTTTATTATCATCATATTCAACTCTTTTTTTACGATATTTAAAGCCTTTTTGCTCACAATATTGCATCAAGTATTTTTCTACCTCTTCAAAAGTTTCAAATGTTTGTCCTTTTTGGAGTGATAAATTAGTATCATTTTCTTCATTTATAAAATCACTAGCATCAGATAAGTCATCTTTTTCATCCATATTTTCATGATAAAAATCATTTAAAGATGAAATTCTTGAATGCTCATTATGAAATAAAAGAAAGTTGTAAAGAAAATTATTGTAAAAGAAAATAAAGGATGTGGAAAAAAAAAAGTCATAAGAGTCTATTATAGTTTTACTACAAGCCACATTTAATTATCAATGTTCCGGTGATTTTAAATCACTCCCGGTGAACAAAATTTCACTTCCGGTTAATTTTTTATAACCGATGATGTAAACACGGTGATCAAAATATATTATAACATGGGTGTTAAAATCTTATATATAATAACATGAAGTTATTTTTAGTTTTTTTCATTATTAAAATAGTCAAAAAAAAAATAAAAGTAATTATATGTTAATATAATACAAATATATTTGACAGATTTTTTCCAAGTTTTTTCTGATTTCTTATTTAGACTTTTTAAAATTAAAAAAAAATTAATAAATAAATTTTGTATTTCAATAAATATATTTTATCATATTATTGTATTTATTAAATTAAACTTTTGCATATATCATGAATTTACGTAAAAAAACTTCATTAATAAAATTTTTACATGCTTTATTGTATATATTGAAATTCACATATTGTTAATATATAGATTTTTAATTAATCTCAAAATTTTAATTCAACACACTTAAACTTTTCTTTTTTCTTTTGCTGTTTCTGCTACAATTCGCTGCCTTAATGAATCAATCTCAGATTGAATGTTTTTGTAATAACTTATATGTATCCGATTATACATTTAAAATGTATAACTGAAGCAACAAGAATTTCGGCGACGAGCCACCGTCAAGAAAATATCCAAATATGTTTTTGCGGGATATTAAAATCGCGAATAAAGGTATTGAGATAATTTAACCGCGACTGAACTATTTTGACATTTCTTACATTTAAATAATAATTATTATTATCATGCTCAAACGATTTTATTTTTCCAATGCATATAAATCTTATATCGTGTCTTCTTTAAAATTAACTAATCCATAACAAAATGATGTCTGTAAAATGTGTCTGTAAAATTAATGTTAGTTTGATTATTTGATGCTACATATAAACTTACTATTCGATCTACTCTATACAATCTTTAAATTCGCTTTCTGGAAAGTCAGATTCAACAAAGTGAGATTGTGGGTCTGTGTAACCAATTCACCATCATCTGCTCCATCCGCCCATTTAATGCCAAATCGATTCATAAAATGAGAATAACGTGCAAAACCGACCTTTCCAGACCATTCAAAATCAATTAATTTTATGTCAAAATCGTTATCCTCAAGCTTATGAATCATAATGTTCCCTTCGCGTAAGTCTCCATGCACATGTCCTGAATCATGCAAATACTTGACTGCTTTTTCGATTTTCTCTCCTAAAGAATTTCGTTCTTGTTGATTAAGGTTAGAAGCGATGTGATTTAATGTTGAATGATTGTCCAAACATTCCATATAAACCAAAAGCCAATTTCCGGGAATAGAAGAGATAGCAAGGACTTTTGGAGCATATCCTACTTGTGCTAAGTGCTGATGTGTATCTATTGAATAGTGATGATTTTGGACAGCTTTCACGTAGGCTTTTTCATATGATCCTTGTTTTTCTATAAGTTTAACCTCCCAAAGAAGATAGCCACCAATTTGAAAATTAATCTGAACGTTATAAGATTTATAATCTATAGTCACTTTGGGAAAAGAAGGATGCAATAGGTTATCTATTTGAGAGTTGCTTTGATCAACTTGATCATAATATTGATCGAGAAGTTGGAGCGATTTCTTCAGAGCACGAAATGTTCTGGAAAGCGATAACATGATTTTTTCATTATTCCTTTGCCAGAGAAGGGGAAGGGCTGAAGTAAGCGGATCGATTACGGCTTTATCCGACAGCACAGCACCGGAAACAGAAAAGTAAGATCCTAAAATGCAATCAAAATCATTCACAAAATTGACAAA